ACTTGGACTTGGGTTTTGTCCACAGGGGATTTACAAATAACACGCTATATGAAGCATTGTTGTAGATGTTTTTGACAAATGGCACTATGGCAGTTTTGGTGTGTAAAAATAATGTAGAAGTAAAGGTTACTTAAGCAAGGTAGAGATTTATAAATGCTCAGTTTACATTCTATTCTATCAATAATCCACTTGTAGTTCAGGCTACACTATTAATATGAGAGGCTTATGGTTAATTGTTCTATTGGTATCATATCTTTCTTGTTACGAGTGTTTTTCACACAGATTTTGTGGTGGCCTCTGGCTGGATACTTGTAATATACTTGCTATTATCGATCAAGAAATCCATGCTGATTGCAAGAATTTTGACGGTGGAATGGTGCCTTCAAAAGTTACATTAGAGTCGTGTGATCACAACATTAAGTCATGTGAATTAGATTCTATACATCAATACAGACTCTACTGCTATGACAAAGAAAACAACGAGGTCGAGATTAACTCGAAAGCAGAGAATTTGGATGGCACCCTCCACTGTTGTACCTCTGGATAAAGATACAAATAATACATGTTTTTTGTCTCATTGCTGGAGGCATTAGACCACGTCAGTGTTACGAACACGGCCGGGATCCCGGCCGTGTTCACCGTGTTTCACGAACACGGCCATGGGTCGTGTTCCCACGGCCGTGTTCGTGAACAGTGGTCCGTGTTAGTAACACGGACCACTGTTCAGAATATTCTTGCGCGGAATATTCTGGTTTTAGGGCGCACGGCATCACACGACAATCCAGCCAGGGCGCACCATTTCAGGGCACAGCAGCAGCAATCCAAGGCAAACAAGCATGGCGCAGCAATCCAGCATACTGCGAAAGCATCCTTTTTCGCGAAATCATTCCTATAATAATATAATAAGAAATAGAATATAATTTTTAAATAACATATTCTTAGAATATTCAGTAGAATATTCGTGAGCCATCGTGGGCCGTGATCGTGTTCCGTGTTCGGGTTCCTGAAATCTGAGGCTCGTGTTCATGTTCCGTGTTCGTGTTCGTAACTATGGACCACGTAAATTACAGAATACATTAGTATATACATTTCTCAAGCAACCACTACATGCAAATAAGGAATGATGGAGTAAACATGTATAATTATTATCTAAAAAAAATTCAAGAGATACCACATAGTAAAGAGAATACAAACACAAGAAAAACCACTTTCACAAGAAACATCTAGCTGTAACTTAAATCTATTTTATTAATTTACTAATATAAGCATTACGCTGTTCTGGGATACCTTGATCTTCCACAGCGGCCAAGTTTCATGGGGCTCTACTTCAAAGAACAGGATGAAGAAGGCCACCAAGTAGGACCAGATGCACCTCAGATCAGCGCTGCCATCACCAGGAAGAGGTGACGATCATCATGGTTGGCGACCATGGCATGGTTGGAACTTGCGATAAGAAGCTGATCTTCTTGGAAGACTTGGAACGCTGGATCCAAATTCCAAAGGAGTGGGTGAATTCGACAAGTCCGGTGCTCGCAATCACTCTGCCTCTCGACGTTGACGCAAAGGTCGTGGTGGAGAAGATGAAGCAGGGGCTGGCTTCTGGTAGTGTGGCGAACGGGGAGTTCCTGCAAGTCTACTTGAAAGAAGATCTACCTTCGAGGTTGCACTACTCCGCGAGTGACAGGATCCAGCCGATTATTGGGATGGTGGAAGAAGGCTACAAAGTCGAGTTGACACGTCCCAGGAAGACTCACACAGAGTGTGGAGGCGCTCACGGCTACGACAATCTTTTGGTTTCGATGAGGACGATTTTCATCAGGCATGGGCCGCAGTTTGCCAGGGGAAAGAAGGTGCCGTCTTTCGTTAACGTGGAGGTGTACAACGTGATTGCAACTATTCTCGGGATCAACGGGACCAGTAACAACGGAACGACAGCTTTTCCCCAGAGTATCCTCCTCTCTAAGTAGCCCTCTAACCATGGTGAGTTTCTTCTATTGTACTTCTAATCTCTAGCTAACATTGCAGCTTCAACGGTGAATAAGTGCACGGGCAATAGTGCTTGTAAAGTGACATCTTTTAAGATTCATTCTCGAGTGCTTCAAGCACGATTTTTTTGTCAGACAGAGTTTCGAGTCCTCTTGAGTTCTCCTCTCGAAGGTATAGTATCTCCTACTGCTGTGTTATTTGTTTGCGTTCTTTTTTCCTCGAGCAGGCGTGATTCTTGCTCGTAGCTTGCCGCTATGAAGAATGACGGAGGCGCTGTGACGGATTTGAAGAACGAGCGGCAGGGAAGAACTTCGATAAAGGCTAGTTATACCATTTACGTTGGCGCAGTCCTTTGCCTTGTTCTTGCAGTGGCAGTCGTACTCCTCTCAGTCTCGCTCTCTTCATGCCACAAATCTGCAATGCGAGTTGATTCGCGCTCTACTGTCTCGCACTCGCTCAAGATTTTGAAGCAACCACTTGTCATCCTGCTCTCTGCAGACGGTTTTAGATGGGGTTACCAGTGGAAGGTTGCAACTCCCAACATTGATCGTTTGAAGAGAGATGGAACCGAGGCCTATCCTGGGATGTTTCCAGTGTACCCGAGCATTACATTCCCGAACCACTACTCCATCGCAACTGGTATGAAAGCCTTTATTTTCTCTTCTCAGCCTTGTTTAAATGGTGGCAGGTCTCTATCCTGCTTGGCACGGTATTATCTTGAACTCCTTTCGAGACCCCACCGACGCCTCAAGAAAAACTTTCTTCATGAAGAACGATACAAATCCGAAGTGGTGGCTCGGCGAGCCTATGTGGGAAACAGTTGTCAACCATGGCCTCAAAGCAGCAACTTACTTCTGGCCGGGTTCCGAGGTGGCCAAAGGCAAATGGACGTGTCCTCCGGCTTACTGTCACCGCTACAACGAGTCCGTTCCTTTCGCCACCCGCACCGATACTGTCCTGAGCTGGGTGGATTTACCGGAAGCACAGAGGCCGAGCTTGATCGCGGTTTACATCGAGGACCCCGATGCGGAAGCTCACACTGTCGGCCCGGACTCGCCAGAGATCAGCGACGCCGTCACCAGAGTGGACGCCGTGCTTGGAAGGCTGCTCGACGGTCTCGAGCGGCGGAAGATCCTCCAGGACGTGAACGTGATCATGGTGAGCGACCATGGCTTCGTGGGGACGTGCGACACCAAGATCATCTCCCTGGACGAGCTCTCGGCCGCGGCCAACACCAAACTCCCGGCGGAGTGGATCGAGAGCGTCACCCCGGTGCTGGCGATCCGCCCCCCGGCTCGCCTCGCCGCGAAGAAGCTCAAGAGGATTGTGGCGGCGCTCAACGCTGCGCTTGCTTCCGGCAAAGTCGCGAATGGGAAGTTCCTGAAGGTGTTCGTCCGGGAGGAGCTGCCAGCGCGGCTGCACTACTCGGGCAGTGACAGGATCTCGCCGATCATCGGGATGGTGGCCGAGGGATACAAGGTGGTGGTGAAGCGGCCGAGCGGGCCGGACTGCGGTGGCGCGCACGGCTACGACAACACTCTGGCGGTGTTCTTCGCGGCGGGGCCGAGGTTCGCGAGAGGCAAACAGGTGGAAGCGTTCGTCAATGTGGAGATCTACAACGTGGTCACCCAGATCTTGGGGACCAAGGGAGTAGCGAACAATGGGACCAGGAGCTTGACGAAGAAAATAATTCGCTAGAATCTTCGGTAATTTTACAACGTTTTCTCCGCCACCTTTTGCCATTTGTATTTTTCCAGATTGCTATAGTGAACCTTTATTTTAACTCTTTTTATTTCTATTTAATCAGTCGAGAGATACGGCAATGTTCCATGATTGTTATGCCCGGCTGCGACGCTCGCAGCACAGAGCTTGAATCATCGCCTGAGACGGAGATTTGCGATGGAATGTTGAGAGAGAACCTCCCCTGCTCGTCCGTGGCTTGCCAGAATGGCCGCTCGCTGGCGGCTTTGCACGGAAGCGAGACCGTCATACCTGTTAGAAACAACAGGAGTTTTTATCTGAGAGGTTATAACGCGATTGCTTCTCGCGATCCGCACTGATGTAAAGAAGATTAAATCATCAAAAATAGATAAGTGATTAAAACTCCCGCAAAGGATTCGTATCTTGGGCTCAGTGTCCCAGTTGGCCACATCCCGGCAGTGAATCACGAGCTCTTTGCCTTGATGAGCTTCAATTGAGAACCCTCACGTAGAGATGAACAGGGAGATCCTTGCGCTTGGAGACACCAACTATCCTTGCGCAAGCTTACACTCTGAGCACGTAGCTGCTGCTGGTGATATTGGCGGTGATAACAGGTAAAATATAAAAAAGCTTCTCTTTCAACTTAAACATTGTTGCTAGAGAACTCACGCTACTTATAACTCGATTTTCCTTGTCGTCGCAAACGGGTCGCTTCTCTACGTCGTCATCTTATTTCATGGCAGAACAAGTAGTTGTTGTTATTTTGGACATTTGGCTTTCTTCGTGGTGCGTCTTCTTATGTTCTTTCGTTTCTATAACTCTTTCTCCTGTGGCTCGCGCCAGGTGCTTAGAAGCGACTGAGTTTTGCAAGCTCGCAGTCTAAGTAATGAAATCACTCATAGCGATAGTTCGAAGCAGGCATTCTAATCATCTGGCACTTGACAAGGTACATTTTCTCTTTCCTTCTTCGGTACTTCTTTAAAATGTAAGAACACTGCGACTTGGTAGATGATAATTCTGCAGTAGAAACACTGCGACTTTAATCGATCAAGCCCAAAGTTCTCCCATGCTACAATGGATACGCAGCTGTTATCAATGCCAGTGAAGTGGGAAGAGCGATAGGATTTGTGACCATAACTTATTGGAATTTGCACCCTTGAGTGTGTTTGTTTCACGTTTTATGTGAGGGAAGCTAAACCAAAAATTTTCTCAATCTTTATTTTCTAAGCTAGCTGAATTAGGAAAAGGATAGAAAACCTTTTGAGTTGAAACTATATAAAGTAGTGTTTAGGAATCAAGCTAGGGCTTCTGTCATGGAGTCGAAGGTACTGGGGAAATATAGTTTTTGCAATGACGAGCAAAAGGTTGGCAAGCTGGGTTGTGTGCTGAGAGTGGCCTGTGATCAAGAAGGTGAGAAAGTTTTAATCAAGAGCGTGGACAATGAATTGTATGACTATGTCCGAGAGTTTGAACTCATGAGGGAGTGCAAGCATGAGAACGTCGTGAAAGTTCTCGACATGGGCAAGGAAGAAGATGGAGGTTACCTAGTTCTCGAGCACCTCTGGGATATCAGGGAGTTTAATAAGGATGAGCGACTGCGTTACAAGCTCTCCAAAGTGGGTTGGATTAAGGAAACCATGCGGCAGCTCCTAGTGGGTTTGGCAAGCTTGCATGAGCGAGAAGTTGTGCATCAGGACATCCTACCCGAGTGTCTCAAATTTGAGCTCAATAGCAACAACTTTGTGGTGAAATTGGGAGATTTTGGCTGTGCGAGGAAGCTCTCAACTCCACCAACCGTACATATTGGATCATTGGGATTCAGGGCTCCCGAAGTTATCTCCAAAGAGATTGAGAAGTTTGGGAAAGGTGTGGACATGTGGGGTGCTGGAGTGGTGTTTGCAGTGCTACTCTTGGGAAAGAAGCCTTTTGGTGGTTATAGAAATTACAATTTGAGTTGGGAGGAAGACGAGGCAAAGGTGATGGACAAGATGAAGAAGTTACCTGAGAAGGATTGGTCTATGAAAATTGAAGATAACGATGCAGTGAACTTGTTACAGGGTTTGCTCGCTTGGGATCCAGATAAAAGGCTTACAGCGGCACAAGCTTTAAAATCAATGTATTTTAGAGTGAAACCACAAGATATTGAGGAGGAAAAAGAGGTGGTAGTTCCTATGGTCAAAGAAGAAAAAGTCATAGCGAGTACTAGTATTTTCCAGAAGTTTATCATAGGTTTCATCATATATATTATTTTAGGAGACCTTTGCATACTATATAGACATTGTTGATTAAGGATATTCCCACTAAGCAATTTAAAAGATTCTTTTATGCTACCCAAAGAACAGAGATTAAACCTCGTAACCGCCGCAAGAGTGTTCTCCTTCTCTTCTTGGAATGGAATGGAGGTAAGGAGGCTGCCAGATTTTCTCACTCGGTTCTTGAGCTCCAGAATTTTTTTGCTTTCGCTCGCGCTCGGCTTCGCCCAATTCTTCCTCTTCTCCTTCTCGCCGAGAGCTTGGACACAGAGGAGCTGCTCGATCGCCAAAGCCAAATCATCCCAGCTTCTCAGAGTTTATGTCGCCGATCTTCCTCGCGAATTCCACCATGGCCTCCTCGAGAGCTACTGCCGCTCCCAGAACTGCTGCTCCACCGGCGAGTATCCCACGAATCCTCTGCTCAAGCAGCACAGTGCCGAGTTTTGGCTCCTGCGCGATCTGCTCGACAGCCCCTCCAAGAAGAAGGAAAACTTTGTTCGAGTGTGGGATTCCCGGCTCGCGGACGTTGTCTTCGTGCCATTCTTCGCGGCTCTCAGCGCTCAAATCCAGCTCAGAGGTGGCCACCGTGGCGAGTTTCGCAAGAAGAGCTCCAAAAACTCCGACTTTGATCGCCAGCGGCGAGTGGTGGAGCTTGTCACCAGCAGTCTCGAGTGGAGGCGGAGCAATGGAGTCGACCATGTCTTCGTTCTCGCTGGTAAAAACGAAACTTTGCTCTCTCTCTCCACGCTCCTGTTCTTCTTCCAGATCCCATGGCTATGTGGCACGTCCGCGAGCAAATCTCCACCGCGATGTTCCTGGTGGTCGACTTTGGAGGATGGTACCTGGAGGATGCCAAGAACAAGCTGAATTCCTCCACCATCATCCAGCACTCCCAGGTCTCTCCGATCAAAGACGTGATAATCCCCCACACGCACTTGCTGCCACCCTTGAAAATCGCGGACGATCAACACCGGACTGTTCTCCTGTACTTCAGAGGAGCTCGCCATCGTCACAGGGTAACAGAACTTTCCTGTTCTTGAGTGTGATAGCTTTTCTTTCGCTTTCGTCCTGCAGAGCGGGCTTGTCAGAGAAAAGCTCTGGAAAATCTTAGACAACGAACCAGAAGTTTTGCTCGAGAAAGGACTTCCAGACGATGCCGGTCTTGCGGAAGCCACACGAGGCATGAGAAGCTCCGAGTTTTGCTTGACTCCGGCGGGAGACACTCCCAGTTCATGCAGGCTTTACGACGCCATCGCGAGCCTGTGCATTCCAGTGATTGTCAGCGATGACATCCAGCTTCCATTCGAAGGCTTTGTGAATTACGAGGAGTTTTGCGTCTTCGTGTCAACCCGAGACGCCACACAACCCGGATGGCTTGTCCAAAAGTTGCGGAGCATTGGCAGCGAGGAGAGAAGCACGATGAGACAGACGCTGTCGCGTGTCCAGAGGTATTTCGAGTATGATAATGCGCTTACGGACGGAGCTGTGAGCTTGATATGGTCAAAAATCCATTCCAAAGTTCCTATGATCAAGGAGAGCATTGCGAGGTTTAGAAGAAATAGGAAAAGTGGTAGCTTACCGTCGGCTAAGCGGTGTCACTGCGTTTCATGAGCCTCTTCGTTACGATTTTTTGTAAATCACGGGAGTGTTCCTGTTGGAAGGATACAAAAAAGAAAGAATCCAGCGAGACTGTTGCAACAAACTTACCAAAAGTCGTGGTTCTCGCAATGACAGACACGCCATTGCGGTCCATGATGCTCCATTGACATCTCACTTGGATTAGCACTCACGTCTGCGTGACAATGAAACGAGATCACTATCAGCATAACGAAGGAGCCTTTTTGCTTTTGTTTATTGCTTTTGAGAACCTTATGCTTATCACTTCCACCTGGCACTTTGCGAATCTCTCCTCTTAAGCCGTGACAGCCACGAAAACACGAGGTCACGCTTGCTGTTCTCCGGGATAGAGACAAGTTCGCACTAAAGTCGCATTGGTTTTTATATAAGAGAAACATACCTTCGAATTTAAAGCCGTAGTGTTTCCACTCCAGAATTATCATCTACCAAGTCGTGTTCTTACATTTCAAAGAAGTCACGAAACAGGAACGAGAAAATGTACCTTGTGAAGTGCCAGATGATTAGAATGCCTGCTTCTATGAGTGATTTCGTACGAAAGTACCTAGAGAAAAAAGAAAGAAACGAATTCCTCAAAGGCTATCAAGCTTAAAGCGAAAGAAAAAGTCGTCACAAACCAGTATGGTATGCATCCTAGGCAATCATAAGCAATTCTTATGCTTCGAAATATCGATAAGAAAAAAGCGTGACTGACAATGAAAAATGCAAGTATTGGAGCTTTAGGTGAGAACTTATCATGGCAGCACTTTGCCTTGAATTTACACTCGCATTCTTCTTCCAATCCAAGATCGTTATACTCGATCTGGAAGACACTTCTAAAACCATTTCAAGGAAACCGTAAAGAGTTACCTCATGTCGCATAGAGGATCTTTGTGGAAGCTCGGGGCTTCCTCTTCAAAGGCGTGTAGGGATGATTAGCCGCTCCATCGTCTTCCTCCTCCGTTCTTGGAAAACCTCCGCAAGCAAGAACCGGATTTGAGTAGGAGCGGATAGACACACTGGCTGTGTCGTCGTTGCGATAGATCGGCCCGGAAACAGACTTTCTCACCCTTGGAACTTGGTGCTTGTGCTCTTCTTTGGAACTCGGTGTATGATCTCTCGGACGCTTCCAAAAGTAAAGCACGCTCTTCCAGGAGCTCGTTTTCGAAGGAGAAGGCCTACCATCTCCATGCAGCGTCGAATTTCGCGAGCTGGGACTGGGTTTTGGAAAGTGTCTGTCCGGTGTTCCATGGGGAGATGGGAAGTACGCTTTCACAGAGACCTGGATAAGTTACTTGAAAGTTTCAGCACGAAGAAAGCGTGTAGAGGAAAAGCTGGGAGAAAGATCTTACCTCAACTGCCTGTGTGTGTGAGGTGAGTACCAGATGATTGGAATAGCTTCGAGATTTGAGCATCATGGTTTCGTTGCCAGTATTTCTCCTGCAAGGGAAAACCAGAAAAGAAAAGAAAAGAAAAACTGTTAAGTTTAGAGCATAAGAAAGTGAAAACTTTCGATGGGATTCTCAGGAGCGCAGACACCACAAAGTATCGCGAAAATCAAATCAGGAAAAGAACGAAAACAGCAAGAAAAGACGCCAAGAGTTGAAGCGTTCGAGAAAAAATGGAAGACAGAGCACGAATTCCAAGATCTCGGACAAATCGATTAAATCTTGACACAAACCGTACCAGGACGTGGCTCGTTCCAGCGGCGTTGACACAGCGCCTCAGATTTGGATCGCGAATCGGCAGCAGCGGCAGGGGCTCTCTCGCCATTTCATAAACCCTAAAAAAACATTACAATACAGCGTCTACTTTTCTTTGTTATGATTTGCGTGGCGCATGAAAACGACACTCAAGAAGGAAGCACACATTCTTCGTCTAAATTTTTCTTTTTAGCGTTCCTCTCATAATTGCATCCCACGATCAGTCATTTTTTAAAAATAAAAAACTAAACTATCAACAATCACCTTTAAGTATATTATATATATATATATATACAATAAAACTATCTCAAACAAGTATATCTTATCTCTTCCCATAAATTAACTGGAAAATAAAGAAAGTTTCTGATAAATCATAATCCATTTTAGAAAGTTTGTAATGCTTGTTTTGTGTGGCAATTGCATGTTGTGTTGCATTGAGAATACTAAATAATTATCAATTATCAGTTAATTATTTGAAAAATTTATAGTTTCCGGTTGGAATTCATTCATATAAAGAGTAACATTTAAGACTATACTTGAAGGCCAATAATTATTTTAGAAATTTAATAATAAATGACTTACCTCTGGCTAGGAATTCAAAGAATTCTTATAAGTGATTAATAATATACATCTTTAAACCCTTCACTATATATGTTCTAAATATATGCTGGCCTCGTAAAACCAGATAAAAGAACCCTAAAAGGCACAACCCTTTACAATGGGAAAGTCAATATATATAAATATGAGGAATTAAAACATATGCTAAGCAAAGCTCAACTTGGATGCTTTCCTCTAAGCTTGTTTGATTGACATGTACTTAAGTTGTGTGCCCATGCTATCAGTTTGAGGATGATAGGGAATACTCAATTGAATACTAGATTGAGAAAAAGAATCACAAGAGTTAAAATTGGTAATCTTGGTTATGGCATGCCAAATTTTGCATATGTGACAAATATTATGTTTGTTTGTCTGCCATGAAATAATGACACTTATTATGCCACAGGATCTATTTCAAGGGCTTCTATTGTGTGTCATCAAGTTTATCCCCCAGAATTTAGAGCAGGAAAAGAAAAGAAAAGCTTAGCTTACATTTTATGCTAAACAGCACAAAGCCAACAAGGGATTTCGGACATGCTTAAGGACAGTCATTTCCTTTTCTTCTCTACTTAGAAAAATTTCATGGGCTCTAGCAATAGCAAGCAATTAGCAGCAGCACGTAGCACCAGCTGAGCAGCAAGCAACGATAGCTAATACCAAGCTTTGCACAGTAAACCAGATATTCGGGTTTTTTGTAGCCTCATCTTTATAATCATACTTTATAAAATGAAGTTAACCTCTTGAAACTCTGGAGTTGATCTTGGAACTTCAAGCTTGGAAACTTTGGATCAAAATGAAATCAGATTAAAATGTACCAAGTTACAACAGGATTGAAGATGAAAAATGGAAGAAAAAAAGACTACTAGAACACAGAAAAATGAAGAACAGGACCAAGTTGGTAAACAAAGTCAATACCCGAACCACGCTCCTTGCCGAGTGGTGAAGCACCATGCACAGCTTCTAGCGCAAGGAAGAATCGAGGAGGAAGAACCAGAAAAAGGCCTCTCAATCCATCCGCTGCGCTAGAAAGTATGCATGAAGAAGGAAGAAGAAGAAGGAATCCAAAAAAAAAAAACCTCTTCTCTCACTCTCCTCTCGAATAAAAATTAGCAAACCACGTCTTTTCGTCGTCGTTGATGTCTTCTTCGTCTCCAATGCTTTACCACGAGGCAAGGATTCTAAAATCTGGTCTGTGGTGCGTTCTTGACTCCATCCCCCTTTTGTGTTCTTGGTTGCTGTTCTTCATTTGTTTGTCCCTCTAAAACCCCTGCTAAATCCCACCATTTTTGCCAGTTTTTTCCTGTCGACGATCCTGTTCCTTCTGCCATCTTTCCCGAACAAACCCCACCTTATTCCGACTTTCCTGCGTAAAATCCGATGTTTCTTTAAGTCTCGCAGCTGAGAGCCGTCTTGATCCGCTGGACAGTGCACGAGATGAGACTGTTCACCGTTGTCACGGACTCCAAGTTGAGCTTCGCGGTTGGAACGTTGCTGACGAGAATCTGGAAAGCTACCGTGAGCAAGCACCCCGGCTCGCTGCTGCTTGCTCGGCTGCTCGTCTCTGGGGTGGTGCCGATCGATCGAGGGCCCTCCGGGAGTATG